AAAACACTGGACAAAACAAACCTGGGAGGGAACACAACAAACAAACACCACAACACAATCAAATGTTTCAAGTTTTAGTACGAGGTTTTTTGGTTGTGTTTTTTTAGTATGAGTTTTAGGGCACTTGCAACACAATGAGGTCATGTAAGTGCCGAAGAATAGATTTTAAAGTTTTAGTACAGATTTTACGGCGCTCGCAACTGCATAAGGTCATATGAGCGCCAGAAGATGAGAGGAGTTAAAAGAGAGTAACACACATTTAAAAAAGAAGGAGGGGAGATACGACAGATGTTTGATAGGAAAGAAGGAGCAAACCACAGCAGAGCACCCGCCCAACCACCCACATAGTAAGAGTTTCACGGCACTTGCAACACAATGAGGTCATATGAACGCCAGTAGACTAGAGGTGTTACAAGAGAGTAAGAAACATAAAAAAGGAGGAGAAATCAGGACAATGGATGTTTGATAGGAATGAAGGAGCAAACCACACCAGAGCACCCGCCAACCACCTACATGTGAGTTTATTTTGAAAAAATTCAATTGGTAGTTAATTAGAAATGAACGGTTCCAGCCAAAGGAACATACAAGTTAATGAATAAATAGTGGCTGGCAAGACGTTGCGTTTGTCCCCTGTGGGACAGGGCTGGGCAATGAGTCGCTTTAGCAAAATCCGGACACTACGTTAGTGCACCTCTTCGGCAAATAATATGATATGAACCGCTTCGGCAAATGGGTTAGAACCACTTCGACAAACGGGTTATCATCACTTCAACAAATGGGTGCACCCACTTCGGCAAACGGGTCAGGAAAGAGAGTTAAGAGTCTGAATTCGGATAATGTTTCATGGAGAATTATCCGGTTATCCATGTGCATTATCCGGATTTTGCTCACCTCTTCTGTGGGACAGCCGAGGCAGGAAGGGTGGGGTAAGGGAGGGAACACAGAGATACAGCGCGCACCCGGACAATACCGAGTTACCCCGCTGGCAACTGGCTCGCAAGAACCAACCTACCGGTTTTTTTTCCTGTAAGAGTTGTACGGCACTTGCAACACAATAAGGTCATAAAGTGCTGAAGACTAGATGTGTCACAAGAAAGTAAAAAAACATAAAAAAGGAGGAGATATAAGGACGATAGATGTTTGATAGGAAAGAAGGAGCAACCCACACCAGAGCACCCTCCAACCACCCACACCGGCTTTTTACGGTGCGACCAGAGACGGTAAACACATAGACAAGTGGCTTTTTTTTAAAGTAAGAGTTTTATGGCACTTGCAATACAATAATGTCATATAAGTACCGAAGATTAGAGGTGTTGTAAGAGAGGAACAAATTTGAAAAAAAAGGAGGGGAGATAAAGACGATAGACGTTTAGTTTTAATAGTGGGTTTTACTGCGCTCACAACTGCATAAGAGCGCCAGAAGATTAGAGGTGTTACAAGAGAGTAACAAACATAAAAAAGAAGAAGGGGAGATAAGGACGATAGATGTTTGATAGGAAAAAAGGAGTAAACCACACCAGAACACAACAAGTGGGCATATATACCCACACAGTGGTGAAGGGATTAAATCTCAACACACAGACAAGTGGGCATATATACCCACACAGTGGTGAAGGGATTAAATCTCAACACACAGACAAGTGGGCATTTATACCCACACAGTGGTGAAGGGATTAAATCTCAACACACAGACAAGTGGGCATATATACCCACACAGTGGTGAAGGGATTAAATCTCAACACACAGACAAGTGGGCATATATACCCACACAGTGGTGAAGGGATTAAATCTCAACACACAGACAAGTGGGCATATATACCCACACAGTGGTGAAGGGATTAAATCTCAACACACAGACAAGTGGGCATATATACCCACACAGTGGTGAAGGGATTAAATCTCAACACACAGACAAGTGGGCATATATACCCACACAGTGGTGAAGGGATTAAATCTCAACACACAGACAAGTGGACATTTATACCCACACAGTGGTGAAGGGATTAAATCTCAACACACAGACAAGTGGGCATATATACCCACACAGTGGTGAAGGGATTAAATCTCAACACACAGACAAGTGGGCATATATACCCACACAGTGGTGAAGGGATTAAATCTCAACACACAGACAAGTGGACATATATACCCACACAGTGGTGAAGGGATTAAATCTCAACACACAGACAATAATAAATAATAAACAGCATTTGTACAGAGCATATCCCCGCTCAACAGCAGGCTCTATGCGCTTTGCACTATATTACTAAGACAAGCAGGTATATATAACCATACAGTGGTGAAGCGGTTAAATCTCAACACACAGACAAGTGGACATATATACCCACAGCAGTGAAGGAGTCAAATCTCAACACACAGACAAGTGGACATTTATACCCACACAGCAGTGAAGGAGTTAAATCTCAACACACAGACAAGTGGCCATATATACCCACACAGCAGTGAAGGAGTTAAATCTCAACACACAGACAAGAGCGCACAGAAGAAACAAGTGGGTAGGTATGTACATGTAATATTACAACCATCTTTCACCATGAAGCCCAGAGCCACCAGCACCCCCATCTTTTCCCTATTTGACAATATGGGGTTTCACAATGACAGTAGACATCAGGAAGTGCTGCACAGAACCCTAGAACAGAACTGAGCTCATACAGAACCAAAGGTTCGCGGAACATTAATTCCCCTGCAAGACAATGTCACTTGCTAGCAAGAATGTATGTTGCATAATGCTGACTTTGAGGTGATTTACTAGGAGGAATTTGACATGACAGCATGATAATAAAGTTTCACCCTCAGGAGTGCCCCAGATAATGTATGTTTTAAAATATACATTGTGAGAAATGGACTTAACAGTCACCCATGGCAATAACATTTTTCTACAGACAGACCTCCAGTGCAGGGTTTATCAACCAAAAACTTGTCCATTCATAACTTGTGGCACACAAGATTTTTGCGGTTTTTTAAAATTAAATTAAGCAGCCACTCATAATTTATGACAATCCTTTTACGTTTCTCTAGAATTGTCAACGACTTCTAGTGCACTCCTTTAGGTTTCCACTTCTGGCTAGTGTAGATGGAGGTGCAGCATCTACGGCTCAAACACAAAAGAAGTGGCCCGTGTGCAAGTTGCGCACGTTAAAGATCCCTTGGTGGTCTAAAATCGATAAGAGTAGGCTTCGGCCGCCACCCGGGCAAAATTCAAAATTTCCTACCAACTGAAAATATTAAGTGTGTCCCACGCGCTCATATGACCTATGCAGTTGCGAGCGCCGTAAAACATTTTACAAAAACACAAAAAGCACAAAAGAGCAGTACAAAGCTCAAGGTCAGCCACATTTAGTGTCACAACAAGGTGGCTCAAGCGCTCCTCAATCTGGGGGCATGTTGGAATCATTGGTTTCATCTTAAAGCTCGTTCAATTGCTTATCTTTTGATGTAAAAAACACCCATTACTTTGAATAAAAGTTGAGATATTTGGGATTGAAGGAGGTGGGGGTCACCTGCTTTCAGCTGTAAAATAAGCAAGAAAATAGCCACCAAAGTTTGATGATTTCCAAAGTTTGAGAGTCCTTGGAACCGAAAAATTTACATTTTTTTTTAGCCTTTAATCAACATTTCACCAAAAAATCAACACATTAATGTTTTTTAAAAGGAAATAAAAAGTGCTGAGCCAAAACCCAAAAAATATCAATAAAATTGCAAAACCGTTGAGTAAATGTCGACATCTTCGATTTCATCATTTTGAAGAGCGCCTGACTTCACCATGGTGCCTCACATGTGGTATTTAGTTTTAGTAAGAGAAGTACGACACTTGAAACACAAACCGGTCAGATCATATCCACAGATGTTACTACAAGGGGAACTCACAAAGAAAAGAAGGAGCGGAAATGAGGACGAAAGAGATTTGTTACAAAAGGTTTTGGACAGAGATCCAAAATTCCAAGTAGAGGTGATGTCTCAAAACGCTGAAACACTGGACAACCCTGCCATTTTGTGGGGGATCACAATCAATTTTTGTCTCCTCTTTATTTTTTTCCCTACGTAAATCAGACTTAACTTAAAACTTCCATTTCCAAATGATTTTTGGGGGTTTTTTTTAATGTAGGTGCTTTTACATCCCCACTGACAGAATTTAGATCATTTACGAGGCAGGCTTCTGACCCTTCCTGTCAGGACCAACCCGCGCTGAGAGGGATATAATAATAATAATAGATAGCATTTGTATAGCGCATATCCCCGCTCAACAGCAGGCTATATGCGCTTTACACTATATTATTACCCCAGCAGACCATAGAACTCTCCGAAACATTCTCAGCTTCCCGGGAAGCATACAGTGCAAGCAGCCGATTAAGTGCTCAAACACTAACAAACTGACAAGATCTTTCGCTGTCTATAGCCGGGTACCCATTCCCACCTGGGTGAAGTGAGGAAAATTCGTGTAAAGTGCCTTTCCCAAGGACACAACATCGGGTCTCTGACGGGATTCGAACCCACGACCTTACAGTTGCGAGTCCGAGAGCCTAACCACTAGGCCACCGACATCCCAGCAGAAAAACGAAGAACCTCAACAGAAATTCTCCCCACTCGGGAATTGAACGCGGGTCTCCTGTGTGCAACAGTGGAGCACCTAACCACTACACCACAGACGTCGGTGACAAGACAAAAAAGGAGAATAAAGAAGGAATGTGAGAAAACAGGAGGAGGAGAAAGAAAGAAAGTAAGAAAACTGGAGGAGGAAAAAGAAAAAACGTAAGAAAAGCGAAAGTGTGACTCACCTGGAAGGGCTGTATCTTCTGCGGTGATGGTATTGACTGGTGTAGGGCGGCCGTCTGCTGCATGCCCCCTGGTGCCATGGCCCCCGGCATGTTGTACTGCTGACTCTGCTGCTGCTGCTGCTGCTGCATCTGTATCGTCTGGCCGTTCATCTGCATGGGTTGCATGTGGGAGTGGGGGAGGCCGGCTCTCATGGGTCGGATCTGAGGAATCTGTCCAGGCTGGGTAGGCATCAACTGCGGCTGCTGCTGCTGTTGCTGTTGCATTCTGACTTTGCCCCGGGGCTGCTGCTGCTGTACTGGTGGTGCCGGCTGACGCATCTGCGGGGCCTGCTGTTGCTGTTGTTGCTGCTGCTGCATCTGAAGCTGGTGCTGAGATCTCAAGATGCGCAGCCTCTCCTGGATGTCGAGCATCTGCTGGGAGGCCTGCTGGCTCTGGGGCATGGCCATGAGCTGCTGCAACTGCTGCTCCAGACGCTGGATCTCCAGGCCCGTCTGACCCGACATGACCGCACTCTGGTTGGGGCTCAGCGGCCCGCTGGGGGTCAGAGGTCGGCTGCCCATCTGCTGCTGCTGCTGTCCCTGAGTTTGGTACCCCGCCGGCATGTGTCCCATCTGTCCAGGCATGAGGCTCTGACCGGCCGCGGGGCCACCCGGTGGGGTCTGACCCGGGACCCCAGACGTCATGGCAACGGTCGAGGGTACCATGGAGGTCGGGAAGTTGGAGGAACTGTACGACGCTGCTGCTGCTGCTGCATTTTGCTGCTGTTGCTGTTGTTGTAGAGGCTGTCCTGGTAGAGTGGAGCTGCCGGTGGCCGGGGTGGTGGAGCTCTGCTGCATGAGCTGCTGGTACGGGTTCGAACCCGACATGGTGTTGGGCCCGTGTCCGGGGGAGACTAGCTGCTCCAGCTGCTGAAGGCTGGACTGTCCGTAGGATCCCTGAGAGCTGCCGCTGTGGCCGGCCGCCATGGCCTGGGGGGGAGGGGGGGTGGGGCGGGGGGAAGGGGTGCTGCTGCTGGGCCGCGGCTGGGCCATGCTGGGGTAGGGGGGGCAGTAGGCGTTGGTCGGGCTCTGGCTGGTCTGGAAGTGGTGAGGGGGCGTCGGTCTCACGCCCGCCCCCGCGCCGTCCCCAGACATAGCCTGCTGGGGACCGCCGGGGTACCCCGCATAGTGCTGGCCCATGGTCCCCGAGCTCATCTGGTTGGAGCCGTGACTAGTCATCATGTCCCCGGGGAACTGGGAGGTGACCGCAGCGGGCATGGCCTGCCCCATGGAGGAACTATAGCCGGCCTGCATCATGGCTGCACTGTGCTGGGAGGAGGCGGGGACCTGGTGCGAGGAGTAGGCCATGTTGCCGTGGCTACCATGAACCTGCATCTGGCCCATCATGTTCATGGAGGCCGGGGGGCTGGGCATGCCCGCTTGCATCGGGTTGGGGGAGCGCAGAAAAGGCGAGGTAGGTGCTGCCATCTTGTTTGTCGGGTTGTACTGATTCATCTGAGACATCTGCTGAGGCCGGTAGCCCTGGTTCATGTAGGGAGACATCTGTCCCTGGGGTCCCGCCGGGGACATGTACTGAGCCATGGCCGGCGTCTGCTGCTGCGTGGGGCTCGTCTGGTTCTGGTTCCAGCTGGAGTTGGGCGACATCATGGGCCCCATCTGGGACATGGGCTGCTGCGAATGGCCGCCGTGGGTCGGTGTCATCCCGTAGCCGGGGTAGCCACCCTGCTGCTGCGCTGGCTGAACCGGCTGCTGCTGTTGTTGCTGCTGCTGCTGCTGTTGCTGCTGTTGCATCATCCCCGTGTTGATGGAGGGGCTGAAGGGTCCCTGCTGTGCACCCATCATCATGCCCTGACCGTGGGTCATCTTGGACATGGGGCTGGCCTGGTACTGGCTGTATTGGTCCGCTCCGTACTGCTGGTGGCCCATCATACCTCCCTGAGAGCCGGGGCCCATCATCCCCGCCTGGGACGTTTGACCCATCATAGATTGCTGCGACCCCTGACCCATCATCGACTGTTGCGACCCTTGAGCCATCATGGATTGCTGCGACCCTTGAACCATCATGGACTGTTGCGACCCCTGACCCATCATCGACTGCTGCGACCCCTGACCCATCATCGACTGTTGCGCTGCTTGCCCCATCATGCCGGGCTGGGAGGCATGGGAATGCATGGCGGCCTGCGAGGCCTGAATGGTGGGGTAGGGAGCCCCGTCCTGTCCCATCCCGACCTGGTAAGAGCCGGCCAGACTGGTCGCTGGCACTGCTGGGCCTCCCATCATCATGCCTGAGGGGGGACAATTGTTTTAGTTTTAGTCAGGTTTTACGGCGCTCGCAACTGCATAGAGTCATATAAGCGCCAAAGATTAGAGGTGTTACAAGAGAATAACAACCACATAAGAGAAAGAAGGGAGATCAGGACAATAGATGTTTGATAGGAAAGAAGGAGCAACTGAGGTTTTACGGCACTCGCAACTGCATAAGGTCATATGAGCGCCAAGGAGTGGATGTCAACAGAGAAGTCCAAATGGAGAATCAGACTTACTCTGCTCACCTCTCTAGCTTCAACAGCACAAAGTCTACTTCGACTATCAAGGCACCCCGGAAAAAGCAGTTCACAAGAGAGTGACAAACATACAAAAGAAGAAGAGGAAAAATTACGATAGTAAGGATGAGGAAAGAAAAAGCAGCAGTTCCCCCTATGTTGTTCCGGCACAGTATGAGCATGACATGTAAATCAGCCCTTTTACAATTCTACTGTGCATAAGAACAAGTAATATCCCCCCTTTGGGAATGGCCTTAAGATATTTTCAGTAAGTAGCACTGCCCTGGGGGGGCAGGGGGGGACTTAAATTTTAATTGGACAATTGGATAATCACTAAAGATGGTGGAAATAAAATAGAAGCAATAGAAATGTGTGAGTAAAGAGAAGTCCATCGACACAAAAATGGTGAGACAGACAGAAACAACAGAGGGAAAGTAAAGAATGAAGTACCAGTGGTGCCCTCCAACCACCCATTGAGGAGACAGTTAAGATCTTTTAGAAAGAAAAAGAAACCAAATGAGGTTGTACTTGAAGAAGCCCAGCCCACGAGGGCCATTCTCTGATTACAATTTCTTTTAATCTGTTAGAGACAAATGCGGTTTTTGGGACACTTGGATAGACATCAAGGCCTTGAGCATCTCGCTCTCACTGGTCAAACTGAAGGCAAACAAGGCAGTGGTAGGTCTACGGCAATTTATTTGGAAAGCTTAAACAGACGGGCGATAGGGAAAGATCAGGAAAATGTAGCTTTTCTGAGAGCACTTGAGCTAAGGAATGAAATGGAGAATCACGATTGCAAGTGTCTGTCGTAGATCTGGCACTTAATGGTGAGGTGTTTATCCGTCCCCATTGACACAATTCAGATCATTTACGAGGCGAGCTTGCAACCCTGCCTGTCAGGACCCACCTGGGCTGAGAGAGACACAAACATCTCAGCAGAAAGACCTGAGATACACGATAAAACATTCTACTCACTCCAGAATCGAAGTCAGGTCTCCGGCATGCCACAAGAAAGTGCCTAACCGCTTCACTACAGACGCCGGTACAAACAATAACAAGACTTGGGTGAACTTTTCATATTTATCAATTAGCAACGACTTGCCAAGAAGTGAAGTGATACCAAAACTGACCCATACTAGAATACTTGTTTAGTTTATCCCACAATGCAAACGCTAAGTAACTAAAAGAAAAAAAAGAAACAAAAAAAAAAAAAAAACCTTTTCGCAGCACTTTTTCTTCCCTGCCAGTTGTATGACAAAAAAAGTCCAGAAAATGAACAAAGCATCATTTGATCAGTGTTCCATTTCACCACAGCATTTTTACGTATGGGCAGCTTTTGCTTTCCCCCGAATTTCTGCATCCCGTACGGGGAAAATGGACATCACAAAACAGCCCTGTGAGTGGCTTCAATTTGTAGGCACCTCAACATTCTTAACTCTTTAAACCCCATCACACACTGGGAATGTCCTTGTGGTAATAACCCTGATCCCCATCACACACTGGGAGTGTCCTGTGGTAATAACCCTGTTCCCCATCACACACTGGGAGTGTCCTGTGGTAATAACACTGTTCCCCATCACACACTGGGAGTGTCCTGTGGTAATAACCCTGTTCCCCATCACACACTGGGAGTGTCCTGTGGTAATAACCCTAGTGTTCCCCATCACACACTGGGAGCGTCCTGTGGTAATAACCCTGTTCCCCATCACACACTGGGAGTGTCCTGTGGTAATAACCCTGTTCCCCATCACACACTGGGAGTGTCCTGTGGTAATAACCCTGTTCCCCATCACACACTGGGAGTGTCCTGTGGTAATAACCCTGTTCCCCATCACACACTGGGAGTGTCCTGTGGTAATAACCCTGTTCCCCATCACACACTGGGAGTGTCCTGTGGTAATAACCCTGTTCCCCATCACACACTGGGAGTGTCCTGTGGTAATAACCCTGTTCCCCATCACACACTGGGAGTGTCCTGTGGTAATAACCCTGTTCCCCATCACACACTGGGAGTGTCCTGTGGTAATAACCCTGTTCCCCATCACACACTGGGAGTGTCCTGTGGTAATAACCCTAGTGTTCCCCATCACACACTGGGAGTGTCCTGTGGTAATAACCCTGTTCCCCATCACACACTGGGAGTGTCCTGTGGTAATAACCCTGTTCCCCATCACACACTAGGAGCCTAAGACACTAGTGACAGCTGTTAGATTTCATTTAGTGCTAGTTTCTTCTTGTTTTTCAGAACTATTCCCGATCAAAGTTTTTTTTAGTCATGACTGAGCCTTTGTTGTCGTTATAAAAAGTTGGAGTCAAGCTTGTGGGGTTATAATGAGACATAGTGCACCAGGTTTAGGTGACTGTAGAAAGAACTCTGGGAAATGGTGGAAAAAAACTCAGGGTTTAAAGAGTTCAACTCTTTCAGTACGCAAGGGGTTCCATAATTTTACACACCCAGACGCCAAGCGTGTTACCTCAAAATGGCTAGAATTCAGTCAAGTATTGATGGATTTGTTTATGCGGGCACTTAATATATTTTTTTGTAAGTGTTTTATAACGCCTGCACCTGCTCAAAGTCATATGTGCGCACGGGACACGTTAAGCATTTTCAGTTTAGAAGGAATTCATTTTGAATATTGCCCCAGTGGCGCCCGAAGCTTACTCTTATCGATTTTGGGACCATCAAGGGATCATTAACGTATGGAACTTGCACACGAACCTCCGAGATTTTTTCACCCTAATCCCAAATGTTCCCCCCTTTGGGAAAGAAAATCACAAGATGGGGACATAGGTAGTAAATGTATCACGGGACCAGGTGTACATTTAGGGCTTGCCGAAATCGGTACCCCCAGAGCGTCAATTGAGTAGTAAGCCATTAAAACGCAGAGCCAAAAAAGATTATTTGGTGCTGGCAAGAAGCAAGTTGAAGACAGATTAGACCAAAAAAAAACAACAGAGGGAAAGAAAAGAAGTAGAACCTACCAGTTGCGCACCCCCCAACCACCCACTTACAAGTTACTATACAGGAATCGAAAGAAAAAAATAGATAGCATTTGTATAGCGCAAATCCCCGCTCAACAGCAAGCTCAAAGCGCTTCACAATCTATACTATTACCCAAGCAGACCTGAGAGCATCCTGAAACAATCTCAACTTTCTGGGAAGCATACAGTGCAAGCAGCCGTTTATAGGCGCTAAAACACTAACATACTGACAAGATCTTTCGCTGTATTGTATGCTTCCCAGTAAACTGTGGGGCTGGATCCTGCTCGTCAAATTTGAGAGTGGCGATTCGCGATTCAGTCGGCTTCAATGAATCGCGAGTACGCGAGCGCTCGTGGAGCTGTGGCGGAACACTGACTGAAACGGAACAGTGTCATATCAACGCTTCTTGGTGAGCACGAGTCCCACTCTTGTTGTTCCGCCATCCCCTCCGCCCCACACCCTTTGTTGCGCTGCTCTATCAACTGACCTCAATTAGTGACCCACATAAATCCCCCCCCCCCCCAACCCCACCATTCCCCAAAACAATGGCTCCATAAAATTCCTTCTGTCTATTGGTTGGACCCCATTCAGTAGGTTAAACAAGCCACAAGGTGGTGACAGCGACAGGGGAGTGAATCGGGAATCGTTTGGCGATACTATTCCGCGTTCCGCTGAAGTGAATCGTGAATCGCGTTCCGCAGGAAAGAGTGACGATTCAGTTCCGTTCTCGCGCTCGTGACCCAGCCCTAGTAAACTGAGAATGTTTCTGAGTCTGCTAGGGTCTGCTAGGGGTAATACTAGTTGGTAAGTGCATTGAGCGTGCTGTAGAGCATAGATATATGCGCTATATAAATGCAATTACTATTATTATTGTTAAAATAACTAGAAGATCTGGTATCACTATAGATGCCACTGCAGTAACGATTTCGACTTGTACATAGCTCCGGAGACCTTTCATAATAATATGATTGTACTGTACAGAAAAAAAGTAAATTTTGATGTAGTTTTTGGAGTTTTTTTACAATCGACAATTTAGACAATTTACAAGGTGGGTTTCCAACCTTGCATGTCAGGGTCAACCCGGGCTGACAGTTGACAGGGATACATCATCCCAGTAAAAAGACAAAGAGACTTAATAAAAAATGTCCCCACTCAGGAATCAAACTCGAGTCTCCAGCATATGACAGCAATGTGCCAACCGCTACATCACAGACACTAGGTACTAGTAACTATACAAGCAATCAAAAGTTGTTGTTTTTTAATTTAAAAAAAAAAAAAGAAAAGAAAAGCAAGCAAGACAAATTCAGAATCCACACCGGCAGAGACCTTTCTCAAGAATACAATATGGTGAGAAATCCATGCTGCCTACCTTGTTCGATTTTTGAAAGTTTTAAGGTGGATTTTTCAAGCATTTGCAACAGATATAGGTCATATAAGTGCCGAAGACTTGAGGTGTTTCTAGAGAGCAGCGTACAAAGAAAAGAAGGACAATGGATGTTTGAAAGAAATGAAGGCAGAAACCACAATAGAGCGCCCTCAGTTATTATCATTACATCGCGACCTCAGTGCTGTCTTGTCGAATCTCCTTTTTTTTTAAACATTGAAAATGTGACTTTTTCTTAACACTTTGCCGTCATATTTTGGGGAAAATCCAAAGAAACTGGGTGATAAACATCGCCAAACGGCGAGATGAGGCGGCAAAGTGTCAGGCTCACTCTTTGATACCAACTGTTTTCACTGTTTTAAAAAATGGAGATACTACAAAAAAGCACAGAGGTCGCGATATCATCATCATAATTATTACCATCATCGTGGTCACAACCAGCACAGCACGCTGAGAACAGCCGCGCCCGCCGCTTACCTTGAGGGGCTTGCCCAGGCTGCATGTGCTGCGGCATCATCCCGGCGCCGGCGATGGAAGGGCCCAGCTCCGACGAGCCCGTGCTGGCCAGCTCATCCAGGAAGTTCGTCTCTCCGTCAAAGAGGCCGAGCATCGGCTCCTCGGCCATCATTGGCCTAGTACCTGGTCGCCTGTGGCAACAACACATACACAAGGCCAGCCAGGATTAGTGGACAGTTTGGATGCTTGATATTAACTTATCTTTAGTTTTTGCAAGAGTTTTACGGCACTTTCAACACAATTAGCTTAGTTTAGTTTTAGTAAGAGTTTTACGGCACTTGCAATACCATAAGGTCATATATAAGTGCCGAAGATTAGAAGTGTTGCGAGAGAGTAACAAAAAAAAAAAGAAAAAGAAGAAGGAGAGATAAAGACGATAGATGTTTGCTAGGAAACAAGGAGCAAACCGCACCAGAGCACCCGCCAACCAAGCTGCAGAGACAAAAATAATTCATTCAGAATTACACGAACCTACACAAGTAAACTCTATAAAAATCAGAACACAATCCAACTGTAACCTTTTCCAAAAACAATCACATTCATCTTAAACCTCACTGTGAATTAATTTCACTACTGTTAGTATTCATACTATGTCAAAAAAAAAAAAAAGGAAAAAGGAAAAAAAGGAAAAGGGAAAAAAGGGAAAAGGGAAAAAAGGGAAAAAAAGGAAAAGGGAAAAAAGGAAAAAGGAAAAAGGAAAAAAAGGAAAAGGGAAAAAAGGAAAAAGGGAAAAAAAGGAAAAAGGGAAAAAAAGGAAAAAGGAAAAAAAGGAAAAGGGAAAAAAAGAAAGAAAGAAGAGCAAAACCAGACCAACAGAAGAACCTACAAACAATCTTGAAATATTTCTACTAACTATGCCATAACATAAATAGCAGGCAAAAAATGGAATCACTAGGCATGCAGAGAAGCTCCAGTGAGAGATAAGGTGTGGGCTTATCTTAGTAACTTCACCGACCTTGTTTACTTCGGACGGCAGCAACTGACCTCATCTTCTCGTGTAATGGGTCACACTATGATCACTATCGAATGCAGCGAGAAGAGGTAAGTAGTATTTCCTCTTGATTTTTGACAATCAAAATAAAAGATCTGCCAGTGGTTGGTAGGCAGCTGCTCTAGTGTGGTTTTCTCCTATCAAACATCTATCATGATCTTTTTGTCTTCCCACCTCATTTTTTGTGTTTGTTCTTTCTTGTAATGTAACACCTCTCTAATCTTCGGCACACTTATATCATGGTAAATGTGTTGCAAGTGCCGTAAAACACATACCACAACAAAGTTAATCACCCTAAGAATTTTAAGGAGAATGCTACCAGCACAATTCAAAGCTTATTGAGAGTCAGATAGACTCTCGCAAAACCACGATTAAAAAAAAGGAGCATCAATACCATGATCAACACCATTATGGCGAAGTCTTCACTTAATCATAGTCGCTGTTCCCCGGTCCTCAGCTCTGAATAAACGCCCTGACCCTCACCCCTCATACCACAAGGTCATCTCATCATGAGAAACCACCATCGTCCTACTGACAATATGCTTGAGTCTTCCCGTAACTCATTGAGAATGCGCATTCTGGTGATTTGACAATGCTTGAAGATACGCTGTTTTGGGACGTAATTTTATTATTCAAATAGATTTTTCTTCTTTGTTTTTTTTATCTGAAGTTTTAAAAGGCATGCAACAACATGCACACTTTCAAATATGTAAACTTGTGTTTCCTTTTTGTGCATGATGGTTCGACATGTTCCAAAACATTGCGTTTCACTGACTTTTGATTTGCTGCTGATTGGGCGAATGTGTCCACTGTGTCCTCAAAGAGTTAACACGCTTTTTGAGGTTAAAGGCACCATAAAAATGAAATTTTGACGAGCATTTTACAAAGGGCAGCAGACCTTCTACACCCAACAAGTCTACAGAACAAGGCTCCAGATTCCACAGATTTGACGTGTATACAAGCCCAAGAACAGGAAGAAATGGTAACATGAATCTGATCAAATTCAGAAAATAATATTTCTTAAAGTCACACGCTTGCTCAGAAAATATTTTATTTTATGTCCTTACTGGGGGGAGGAAAGGTGAAGATGATAAAGACACGCCTTCCTTGTAACTTAATAAATTACTTTCATTTAACACTTTATTTTTCCAATTTCATTCACGATGCTACTTTGTGTAAATCTTTCATTTATGAGCACTACATGAGGCTGCTTAGTTAGGATTTACAGTATATGTGGGAAATACACACAAATAAAAAATGTGTATTTACACATGATATACAATAAACTACATCCAACTGATGTAAACAGAATTCAAGAAAAAACGATAATTATGTCAATCTAATCCCGTTTCTTCAACAAGCAACAACAACAAAATTTTTTTTTAATGGGAAGGCTGAAAGTCCAATGTTATCCGAATCGTTGACAGGTCTGGCAATGAGTCAGACACAGAAACGAACCATTCCACAATTTGCCAAATTAAATGTCACATTTCAAAATGGTCCTGCAGCTGGCAATTTATTACATAATTACCAATTGAGACACATGGTAACTAGACGTTATTAAAGATATTTCCTGACATTTTTTTCAACGCAGTGAACCAAACCAGACAAAGTAAGACAACTCTCAGGGCAGACGACAGATCACCACAGGTTTCCATAAACAACACAGTAGTTAGTAAATAAAAAACTTCAATTTCAAAACTAAAGGCATTCATTTCAGCACTGAAAGCCACCCACCACCATCAACGCAGACAACCTCTCCTGTCACAATTTTGTCTAAACAAAAAAACATGGGAGCTGGGATGACCTGCAAAGGACGGCAGAATTTAAAAAATAAAAAAACAATAATTACCACTTTTGCTGCAAGACAGTAACGAAAAAAATCCCCAACTTACTTGCTAAGGGGGGTACTGTTCAGTTGTGCATCATGACTTATTGGACACGGTCAGATCGGAGGTACCTCACCTGTACCTGCGGGGAAACAACAAAGTCTTATCATATTATCAAAACACAAAATATGTTCAATTTTCTCACAATCAATACAACTAAACTAACTTTCCAAAGACCTTTATGCAACAACACTTTCAGGCACAAATTGTCCGGACCAAGCACCCGTACAGGACAGTAACGATATAAAAGCTCCAAAACTGTGCAGAAAAGAGCTTGAACAAACAAGCAGTTTGTTCTCAAGCTTAACAAAATAATACCAGATTATGAAAAAGAATCTTTTTTTTTCTTCAATATAGAGGCTTTTTCTACCCCTGTTGACACTGTAGTTCATCTAAGAGACGGGCTTCCGAACCTGCCCAGGTAAGGTACACAACATCCCAGGAGAAAGAGAAAGATACTCAATGAAAATTCTCCCGACGATGGAATCAAACTTGAGTCTCCAGCATACAATAGTTTAGCACCTAATCACTCCACCACACTGACCGGTCAAGACAGAAGGAACAACTTATACCACGTGTAAACATTAAACTAAAAAACTACAGTGATATACAGTTGCCTTTTCTTCTAAAACTTAGCTTCCCATGCTTTAAGAAAGAGTTGACAGCGCATCATCTCAACACCAAGCATCGGCTATCTGCTCACTCGTTCATGGAGCTGCTACAGCAACACTGATTGCTCCCCTCCACAAGAAAAGAGGCAGAGTTTGAAAAACAATGGGAGAGATCAAGCAAAACAAACCGAGTAAACCTTTCCTCTCTGGAGAAAAGATAGTTTTCGTAAGAGTTTACCAGCACCTGTAACACAATTATCTCAGATATAATCAGAGCCCAAGATTAGAGGTGTTACTAGAGGGTAACATATCAAGAAAAGAAGAGGAGGGATTTTAAGAAAATAGATGTCTGACAGTGTAAATAAAGAGCAAACCATATCACAGCATCTGCCAGCCACCCCCTGACCAATGAAAGAAACTAGGTATGTTATATATTATTATATGTATGACTTTTCATTTATTTTTTTATTATAGTAGAGGGTTTTACGGCACTCGCAACTGCATAAGGTCATATAAGCGCCACGGGGTGGGTGTCCACAGAAGTCTTTACAGGGAATCAGACCCACTCTGCTCACCTCTCTAGCTTCAACACCACAAGGTCTGCTTCGACTATCAAGGCACCCCGGAAATAGCAGGTCACAAGAGAGTGACAAACATACAAAAGAAGTAGAGGAAAATGACAATAGTAAGGATTATGAAAGAAAAAGCAGCAGTTCCCTGTTGTAGATAAGGCACAGTTATGAGTATGACATGAATCAGCCCATTTTCTACTGCAATAGAACGAGAAATGTCCCCCCTTTGGGAATGGCCTAAAGACACTACAGTCAGTGGCACTGCCCCGCGGTGTAGACTTTTCAGCCATGCATTGCACGATACATTCAACAAGAGGACTTGAGAAACTAGAGCTAAGGTGATTGCCTCTGACAAACATCAAAGTACCAGATGTAGTGTTACTGGGATACTGCAGACAAAGAGCGCAGACACCATTTCTCTTTTTTTTTCTTGTTTTTATTTTTGTCTTTTGGGGTTGTTTTTGTTTGGGTTTTTTTTAGGGCGGGGGTGTTGGTGTTTTCTTGCCCCCATCAACATGATTTAGAACAATATTGAACAGGCTCCAACACTGCTTATCAGGGCCAATCCGAATTGAAAGATTGACTGAGATATTCAATAAAAATTTTCCCCACTCTGTAACTGAACTTAGAGGTCTCCTGCATGCGACACTTAAGTGCCTAACAGTACATCACTGATGCTGGTCTCTCAAACCCTGATCCAACAACTGAATGGAAGAAGAGACTAAAGCAAAAAGAAAAGAGTTTCTGTTACTACTGGACAGTCCAGCACAGTACCTCTAGAGACAACTGTTCGACTTGAATGTCTCTACAGACTAATACTGTAAACCACGACAGTAACCCTATCCCTCTGCATCAAAAATGTTTTGGTGCTTGTAGTTTGCCGCCCCCCCCCCCCTCCTTTCTTGAAAGTAGTGCATCAGGGTGTGGAATTGATGGCAAAATTACTCCCACATCAAGGAACGTTACTGCGGTAGACCGTCACCAACAAAGCTGTCTCTCCTGTCTTACATCTCTTATCAAGTAAAGTTGTCATATCAAACCAATTCTCCACCAATACTGTAAATTTACATGATGTATAGGAAATGTTACTGACAGCACTCCTTCCATATCAAAAAGTCCAGCGTAAAATGCACAAATAATGTTTGTAACTATTCAGCTATCAAAAAGACGGAAATCACTTTCATTATTTTATCGAAGTGATTATTCGGACTCGAGTCCGAATATGAAAAAATGTTATTCGGACTCTGATTCTTGTCCAGCATGACATCACTTCCAACTTCCTGTGACTCGTGACTCCGGCTTCCTGTCCTGCCTCACTCGTGACTCGCCTCAGGCTGGGTAGAGACCGGGATCACTTCGGGCAAAAAGGCGTTTTGTGCAGGAGCCGAGTTTTAATCTTATGATGAATTTGAGGCCGGCCTGAAAAGTTATAGCGCTTCTAATAAATGTTTATTTGTCAATAGGTCATCAGAAGCAATTAAAGATGGCTCGTTAGCGTGTGTCGGGGTCGGATGGGCGGCCTGCACATGTGTGGCTGTGTGCGTGTCGGGGAGGGGGGTGGGGGAGAAGGGCACTATCGGTCCGGGCGTTGAACGTCGCATACGCGTCAGTCTTTTTCCCCCCGGCAACTGATCATTATTACAATAATAAGCTAGTCTTGACGTAGATCTACGTAATGAATTGTGCGCTGGTCTATGGAATCAAAAGTTGCCGTATGCTCAGCTCTACACAGCAACACAACTTTTTCTGTATAAACAGCCCATAATATGCAGGTGCCAGGTGGTCTGCTAATCTTCAATTTCACCTTTTTCTACAACAAAGAAAGTGGGAAACATGGGGGGTGGGGGGGGGCGTATCAATGAGGCGGCGGGCATCGGATCGGCAGAAAAGGTGTGTGTGTGTGGGGGGGGGGGGAGAGACTAAAAAATGGCGGAAAATTGGAAGCACTGAACGTTGGAACTATAGAACCAAGACACTTCCTTTTTTCCGGACCCGAGTCCGAATAAGAATTTTTTTGCCTTTTTTTTATTCGGACTCGAGTCCGAATATGAAAAAATGTTATTCGGACTCGAGTCCGAATAACGACAGCCTTATTTTATACTCTCATGCGTTGAATGGAAACAAAGCTGACCAAAGTATCGTGCACCAACAGAGGCATGAAAGAATACCAAAATAGAATTGTGAAAGACAACACAAGTCCAGCTTTTTAACCGTTTCGCACTTACAGCGCCCGTATGCGCCCGCGCCGGTGACCCCCGCTCATCCCTATAGCGCCCGCCACGGGGGTGTTTGTTTCGTTGCTGCGGGAGGCTTCTACTTTTACTATCATCAGAAGTTTAACTTAGCTATCTTTATTGAGGAAGAGTTCCGGTTTACTATGGTGTTTTTCTTGTTTCGCTAGCACAAAGAGTCACTTTTTGAGCGGGAACAAAAGTCGGAGGAGATTTTAGTTGTAAACACGCCATCATGTCTCTAGGATGCATGGGCGCAAAGCTGCCCGATATGAGTACGGCAAAAACAAAATAAAAACACCCAAATAAAAGTCTGTTAGGTGCTTTCAAGTTTCCACCAGAGGCTTCAATCTCTGTGAATGTGTTGTATTTCTTTTGTGTGGATTACCTCTTTGTCAGTGGCAGAAACTTCGTGAGTTGAAGAAATGTAGTATACGAGGTCTAGATCTAGATCTAGACTCGGAATCCAAGACACGCATCTCAGAAAGACCTCTCATATCATTTCATACTCTTCTATTCCACTTATAATTTTGTATTAGTAATTTAGCTCATTCATTTTCCCTTCAGAAAATACTATTTTCATAATTTTTGGTTGTGTTTGTGATTTTATACAATTTTTTTAGTTAGGTACCCCTTCAATTTTCGTGGAGTTGTTGCCCTTGTCTTAAGGATGGGGGGCCACAGCTGGCCAAGCCTGCTAAGTGCGAAAGGGTTAACAATTCAAACATTTTCTTCACCAGACGTAGAAGCAGGAGCATCATTCCTGTCGATGGGACCCATAACATGAAGCTACAGCTACCACCTAGCACACCCCTGTGATTGGCCCAAATAGATGTCATATTCCGTCATCTATTTTTGTCGTCTTCCAGGGTTTCCCAAGACTCTTGGGCTTCCCTCGCCAGTAACTGTTGACTGGAATCTTTTATAAACAATCTCAGCAATTCTCGTTCCAGAAATTTACCGTCTCAAATTCGTACACCCACACACACACACACACAGCCCAAGCAGTCAGCGATGAAATCTAGATCTAGTGTGGTAGCCCATCGTGCACCAAAACGGGCCTGCCACGGTGAGATCTAGTCAACTGGCGAAGGAAGCCCCGGAAGACGACAAAAACAGATGGCGGAAATACGTAATCTATATTTGGGCCAATTACAGAGGTGTGCTAGGTGCTCGCTGCAGCTTCATGTCATCATATCATTTCATTTCATATCACCACACATCCCCAGTGCCAGTGTGCTCTTACAACAGGCTACAAAAATATAATCGAGGCCAAATATAATTCACAGATAAAATTGACTTAGCGTTCACTGTTGGAACATGAAATGAAGATGCTTAAAACCCACAAACCAAATGTATACTATCAAGCCCACGAACAATAAGAAAAACCCACACCAACCAACACTAATGAAATGACAGTGACGTTAGACATGTATTCACATGATACACACACTTATATCCCCGTTGTTTCCAATAACAACACACATGGGTGTGGTCATCAAGTGGTATGCTAGTTTAATAATAAAATGCCTGCAGACTATCAGTCAACAACCGGTAAACATTGTCATACCCACATGACATGAGCATTACCATAGCAATTTGCAACTGAAATAGTGCATTGTCCGAACTATGGACCATGGAAGTAACCAGTCAAGCTGATCCGTAAACAACATTTTGTGCATGATGTCATGCAAGGAATCAAAAAGGGGACTGTCTAACTTGGTCAGAGACAAGGTATTTGTGCTCTTGAGTGAGGAAGATATGCCAGCTTTACAAGTAACCCATCCGCCTAGACTATGGTACTGCCTATAGATCCAACCCCACCTACAAGTAGGCCTACAAACAAAGCCTACACACACTACCAAACCAGTTCATTAGATTGAAGTAGAAGCTGGTACTGTCAGGTGGAAAGGCAGAATCTAGACCAAGATCTAGCAATTGTAACTAGACTAGATATCAATAAGATGAATCTATAAGGACTGCATCTCAATCAAAAGACCTCCCCAAATATAAAGGCCCTTTGCAGTGGAGAGAAGCCTTTGCATTGATGCCATCTTTGATGGAGGCAACCCTACTTTCCCTCATCTCATTCTCGTGACTGATGCGTGCACTGTTTACATACTACCGAACACACGTGCACCACTGCCCGGTAGAGTGGGCCAATCTGAAGAAGTTTAACCTATACATAATAATGACAATATTGTACACTTCAGGTAACTGGTAAATTTATTGTATAAGAGCCTTGAGGTCAACCACAATGACTATGTTGTCTTTGTACGCCATGTCTATTGAAGTTTTGAAGACTTTTTTTATCCAGCGGAAACCAAAAAATCCGAGTGAAATTTCGACTGACTGCGGTCAGTGAGTACATTCGATGTTGAAACGACTTATGCCTATAAAAGTAAGTATATGATTACAATTACAGCTCAATCAACAGTGTACTTACCATAGATAAAAGGGAGAAATATTCGAAAATTGTCAAAAGGTGATTTTGTAGACTACAGGCTCTCAACATCTTTCATTTATAAATTCAACGCGTCGCGTTGTGACGAGGCTTTCTATTGGACGATCCAAATATAGTAACATTTTACTTTCAGATTTCCGCAAGGACTCAGTTGTCCTATTGATTCTTTCAAAGCATGAAACTATTTAGAAAATAATAGATTGAGAAATTTTAATTAAATTATTATCCTTGTGATGAATACTTTAAACTCTTTACGTCCAATTTTTCTTTCGAAGCCAATTTTCATCGGCGTCAGAATCTGACCAATCAAAAATTCTCTGACACTTCCTCTGCGGCGAAAAAATTCTGCTGACCCACAACGGCCGTGGCCAATCAAAAGGTGCTATTTTATCGAATGCCCGGATGAAACATCTAAATTTATCACACAAGGCGTCGCTTGGGTGATTGGGGATCTTCCTTCGGCAGTGTCGTGTCATCGCACACGCGTGGCTGTGCTTGTCTGAACATGGTGTGACGAACGCCAACTTGTTCTCGGCTATCATGAGTCTAAACAAAAAACAAAAACACCCCCCCCCCCTTAAAAAAAAGTTTACCGTCTCCCAACTTTCATAAATGTTTTTGGTGGTCTCTTTTTGCATTATATGTTTGAAGAGCAAGGCATAAACTAAAACATAATGACGAAATGTGTAAATCGTTTGATGTGTGTCTGTGTGTGTGTATTGAGGAGAGAGAAAAAAAGGGGGGGTATGTGTGTGTGTGTGTGTGTGTGTGTGTGTGTGTGTGTTTGTGTGTGTGTGAGGGGGGGGGGGGGAAACGCGCGTCTTCGAGAGGAGCGTTTCATGACACAGAGATAACATGATTAGTCGGCTCTGAGTGGGGGGAGACACCGGAGACTGTGAGGAAACACTACAGAAGTGGAGGAGTGGTCTCAAACAACAGACGGCGATCACTCTAGCCTGTGATCGATGGCGGAAATAAGCGAAAACACGGCGAAGTCCGGCGGGCATGGGGAGGGGAGGGGGGGGAGAGGTGTCAGTCCACTGTCCAGTGCGGCCTCATCGTCCCTGGTGACAACAATAGCTCTGCTACTAATGGATCAAGCCAGCATGTAGAATTCGAGAAGTGAATTAACCTTTTCTGAAGATGACGAGTCG